ATGTATGATATATATATGTATGTATATTATGGATTGATATTTATGGTATATGCTGTGTGTGGTGTGTTGTGTTGTGTGTATATATATAATATATAATAGATGAATTTCAAAAATCATTATGTTTAGAGCAAAAGAAGCCAGGACAGAAAGGTATATACAGTAGACATATAATGAAATATTATGCAGCTATAAAAATGAACAATTGATATATATATATATATGTGTGTGTGTGTGTGTGTGTGTGTGTGTATATAATGGATGAATTTCAAAATCATTATGTTAGAGCAAAAGAAGCCAGGACAGAAAAGTATATACAGTAGACATATATGAAATACTATGCAGCTATAAATGAACAACTTGATATATATGTATGTGTATATTGTATGGGTATATATGTGTGATATATATATATATATATATATGATAGATGAATTTCAAAATCATTATGTTAGAGCAAAAGAAGCAGGACAGAAAGTATATACAGTAGACATATAATGAAATACTATGCAGCCATAAAAATGAACAATTGATATATATGTATGTGTGTGTATATATATATATGTAAATGTATGGATATATATGTATGGATATATGTGTGTGTGTGTATATATTATGGATGAATTTCAAAATCATTATGTTAGAGCAAAAGAAGCCAGGACAGAAAAGTATATACAGTAGACATACAATGAAATACTATGCAGATAAATGAACAATTGATATATATATGTATGTGTATATATATGTATGGATATATATGTGTGTGTGTGTGTGTGTGTGATATATATATATATATAGATGAATTTCAAAATCATTATGTTAGAGCAAAAGAAGCCAGGACAGAAAGGTATATACAGTAGACATATAATGAAATACTATGCAGCTATAAAAATGAACAATTGATATATATATGTATATATATGTGTGTGTGTGTTATATAATATATAATATATATATATCATATTAATGGATGAATTTCAAAATCATTATGTTAGAGCAAGAAGCCAGGACAGAAAAGTATATACAGTAGACATATAATGAAATACTATGCAGCCATAAAAATGAACAATTGATATATATGTATGTGTATATATATATATGTATGTATATACATGTATGGATATATGTGTGTGTGTGTATATATTATGGATGAATTTCAAAATCATTATGTTAGAGCAAAAGAAGCCAGGACAGAAAAGTATCTACAGTGACTATAATGAATACTATGCGGCCATAAAAATGAACAATTGATATATGTATGTGTGTTATTATATATATCTATGTATATCAATGTATGGATATATGTGTGTGTGTGTGTATATATTATGGATGAATTTCAAAATCATTATGTTAGAGCAAAAGAAGCCAGGACAGAAAAGTATCTACAGTAGGATTCCCCTTTACATGAAGTTCTAGAACAGTCAAAACTAATGTGTCATGAGAGGCCACCACTGTTCTGATTCCTATGCAATTCTTTAGGCTGCTGTGGGTTCTTTTCTCTGTAAAGAGCCACTGTAATTTTTTTTTTCCAAGTACCGTGTTTCCCCGAAAAATAAGCCCTCCCCATAAAACAAGCCCTAGCAGGATGTCTGAGCACGTGCGCAATAGAAGCCCCACCCCGAAACATAAATTCACATTTCAGTGCCCATACATAAACTTTTATTGGACTGCGGCCACCCTCATTTGTCTGTGTCGTTATCTGCATAGCTAGATGGTGGCTGTTTCTGCCCCACAGTGACAGCGTTTGGCAGTTGTGGCAAAGAACATATGCACTGCCACGTCTAAAATGCTTCCTGTCTTTCCCTTTCTGGAAAAAAAAAATTTTGCTCACCCCTGGTCAACACAGATGTTCATAACCATCCTGTTTCCGGACTTAGGAGAATTTGCAAGGGAGCAAAAAAAAATAATCATAAAATTGGAGATTATTGCTTACTAATAATTTGTAATAACTCTTGCTTACAGGTACATGAACACTTTTTTTTTTTTTAAAGCATCTACATTAAAAATGCTTTTTATTTCTCTATTTCAATTTTCCTTTTTTTTTTTTGCTCCCCTCTTCTGTTTTCAACGGGGAAGCCGGCATGAACATGAGCCCCGTCTCCCGGCTAAAAAAAACCTGGGCCAAAGTGAAGACTGCCAAGTTTGACATTCTGGAGGTAGGTGAAGCTGGTGTGCTCCCGTCGAGTGGCATTTTGCACCTGTCTAGCGGAACTAGTCGACGGAGCACTGCCTCTTGATCAGGCAATACTGCAGAGGAAAAAACGCCCAGCTATTTTGATCATCCCAGGGAAAAGGAATGGGATTATAATTGAAAGAGGAAGGAAATAAAGTGGACATATAGGAGTAACATTTATCGGGTGTCCGGAGGGTGGGAGGAGGGAGGAGGGGATGGGTATATAAAAACAAAAACAAAAACAGGCCGGGTGCGGTGGCTCACGCCTGTCATCCCAGCACTCTGGGAGGCCGAGGCGGAGGATCGCTCGAGGTCAGGAGTTCGAGACCAGCCTGAGCAGAGCAGCCCCCGTTCTACTATAAATAGAAAGAAATTAATTGGCCAACTAATATATATAGAAAAAATCAGCCGGGCGTGGTGCCCATGCCTGTATAGTCCCAGCTACTCGGGAGGAGGCTGAGGCAGGAGGATTGCTTGAGCCCAGAAGTTTGAGGTTGCTGTAAGCGAGGCTGACGGCATGGCACTCAGTCTAGCCTGGGCAACAAAGCGAGACTCTGTCTCAAAAAACAAAACAAAACAAAACAAAAACAAACAAAATAAAACACATGAGATTATCCTCAAAAAAAAAAAAGAAAGAAAGAAAGAAAGAGGAGGAAATAAATCGGGGTTGACTTGTCCTTTTATAGGTAGAGGTTGTCTATATTGGGGGTTAATTTTGACAAACGGTGACCTGTCCATCAACCTTGAGTGCCAGAAAACAATTTGGGCTCTAAGAGTTGAGGGTTTTACTTCACTTCGAGCTACTACTCCTTTTATCTGTGGTGCCCTGGGGCAGGAGTTCCCATGCCTGCAGAAATGTTCATGCCATCCTCTTCTTAGCACATCTCGCTGAGGTGGGAAGACGCCTTTCCCATATGATTCCGAGGATAATGAGAATTGGGCGCAAGGGTTTGTGTGTTTGAATCATAGCTCATCTCAGTAGTACCTTGGTGGGTTGGTGCTTTGAACACTATCTTGTTTATTTATTTTTTTTGAGACAGAGTCTCACTCTGTCGCCCGGCTAGAGTGAGTGCCGTGGCGTCAGCCTCGCTCACTGCAGCCTCCAACTCCTGGGCTCAAGCCATCCTCCTGCCTAGCTCCCCCGAGTAGCTGGACTATCTTCTCTGGGACTACAGGCATGCGCCACCATGCTCGGCTCATTTTTTTCTATCTATTTCTAGTTGGCTGATTAATTTCTTTCTATTTTTTAGTAGAGACGGGGAGGGGGTCTCGCTCTTGCTCAGGCTGGTCTCGAACTCCTGACCTCGAGCGATCCTCCCGCCTCGGCCTCCCAGAGTGAATACTATCTTTGGAAGAAATAAAAAAAATGTTCTTTCCTAAGTTTTTCCCCAAATTGGAAATTACTGCTAGATCTGTTACGGGATGCTCTTATTCATACTCTCTAATACGTTTCCATTCCTTCTTGCGGAGTGGTGAGCCTCATTTATTTGCGAATGATTGGGAACCCAATGCAAAGCCCAAGTTCACTGCCATGTTTTTCGATCACTGCACGTGGCCAATCTCCAAGTGGCCTGTTGGCCTCAGATGAAACCAGGAAAATTGTCCTAATGCTAACAGCGTTTGACTCTTATCCATTTTAGGGCTAATCTCAACAATTAGACTGCAAAGAGTGTGGTTTAGGTTTAACGTTACTGAAGCTACCTCAGTTTACACAACTAAACCAAACCCCAGGAGAGAAAACTTTTTTTTTTTTAATTTTTTTTTATTTTTTTACAGAAGGATTTTTTCCTGGCTAAGAAAACATTTGTTTTAATGTATTTCGTGTACTTGTTTGTGTGTGAGAGAGAGAGACATCGAATTGCTACTGAGCTCTCTAACTTATTTTGAATTTTTTTTTTTTTTTTTGAGACAGAGTCTCACTCTGTCGCCCCAAGCCGTGGCGTCAGCCTCGCTTACAGCAGCCTCCAACTCCTGGGCTCAAGCCATCCTCCTGCCTCAGCCTCCTCCCCGAGTAGCTGGGACTACAGGCATGCGCCACCACGCCCGGCTCATTTTTTTCTATCTATTTCTAGTTGGCTGATTAATTTCTTTCTATTTTTTAGTA